TTCTTTCTTTCTTTCTTTCTTTCTTTCTTTCTTTCTTTCTTTCTTTTTTTTGAACCTGGGATTGAACTCAGGCCCTTGCGCTTGCCAGGCAAGTGCTTATTCTACTGAGCTATCTCCCAGCCCACTGTGTCCTACTCAGGCAGGACTGTATAATGACAACAGCACTCCCACCTGGTGAGATGCAAATGTTTTTCTTTTCTAATTTTCCAAATTTTTAAAATTAATTTTATTGGTACATTATTTATTCATTTTAATGAAAAAATAAAATAGTAATGAAATAGTTTCAAAACAGGTTAGTAGGACAGTTACAATAATTAATGCATTGCATACTGTTGTCTTCATAGTAGTTATTCAGAGGACAAGACGCAGAGATGATATCTTGTCTAAACAATATTAGTACAAACCTTTCTTCTCAGTGAACTAAGAGAAAGTAGCTGTACATCCCTCCTATCTTGTGCTATTGGTACATTTTAGATAGAAATAATGATAGTGCTCATCATGGCAATTTGTACCTGTACTTGATATATCCTGATTCTTCTTTTCCTTTTCCCCTCCTCTCCCTTAAACCCTTCTTCTCCTCCTCATTTACAAAATCTTTATTTCCATTTTTCTTTTACTTTTTTCCTCCACTCTTCCTCCTTTTGCCCCTCCTCCTTCTCTGTTCCCCTTCCCATTTGAATATTTCTTCCTATTTTCCAATATCTGTCATACATTTTGGTATTTATTTATCCTTTCAGATTCTCACACCAGAAAAACAATGTGGTATTTGAACACATGCATCTGATTTATTTCAATTAAGAGTCTGATCTCCAGGTGCCTTCAATTAGGTAGAAATGTCTTAAGCTTACCCTTCTTTATGACAGAGTAGTGCTTCATTGTATAAAAAAACCACATCTTTATCCATTCGTTGGATGGGCATTTGGCCTACTTTGAAGATTTAGGTTTTATAAACTGTACTGCTATAAATATGGGTGTGCACCTATCACTGTGGTATGGTATTGAGGACAGACCAGTCCAGCAAACTCTAAACAATTGGATAGAAAATGATTTAAATAAAGAAAACAGCATGGTGGCGCATGCCTATAACCCCAGCACTGGGGATGCTGAAAACAGAAGGATCACTATGAGTTGGAGCTGCATAGTGAGACCCTGTACCAAATACATAAAAAATAAAAATTAAAAAAGGAAACAGTGGTATTATTTTAGGACTCCAGAAAGGTAAAAATCTGTCTAACATAATTTGAGATTTTCTTTGCTATATCAATGTCCAGAGTTCTACGTTTTCTATCCTCCAGCAGATTTAGTGTTTCTGTTTTAATATTAGATCTTTGATCCATTTTAGTTTAGTACATGGTGAGAAACAGAGGTCTAATTTTAATCTTCAGCATATGGAAAACCAGTTTTCTCAGCACCATTTACTAAAGAGGCTATTTTTCTTCCAGTGAAGATGTTTGGCTCCTTTATCAAAAATAACATAGCTGAGTGTATTTGGAGCTGTTTCTCCATCTTATAGTTCATTCCATTGATCCTGAGATCTATTTGTGTTTTGTTGTTGTTATCAGTACCATGCTGTTTTTATCATGATAGCTTTGTAGTATAATTTCAAGTCAGGGATTGTGATGTTCCCTGCATTGCTTTTGTTGCCCAGAATTGCTTTTGCTATTCTAGGTGTTTCCTGATTCCAAATGAATTTTAGGATTTTTCTAATTCTGTAAGGTATGATATTGGTATTTTGATCAGGATTGCATGAGATGAAACAGAGTGGATCATTAAAAGAAAATCTTTGAAGCCCTGTAATCCCAGCACTAGGAGACTGAGAAGGAATATCACAAGTTCCAGGCCACCATGTGCTATGTAACAACACCAAGGCAGCCTGAACTACATAACAAGACCCTCCCTCAAAAACCCAAAACAAAATCAAACAAATAAAAAACTCTTTCATTGTATCTTAAACCAGAGAACTGGTTTTTCTTATTCTCTTCCACGTGGGCCCTTGGCTGTTGCTGAAAAATTAAACCAATGAGATGCTTTGATTCATGGCCCTTATTGGCCTTAACAGAGAAAATTTTACGAAAGTTTTTGTACTTCAATCTCCTTCAGTGCATCGTGGATTACACAAGAAATGGGAATATCATGGAATAACATGTTAGCAAAAATGAAAGGGATGATTACATATAGCTTAACTTTTCTGTCTCTTGTTTCTTTTCCTATAAGCCAATGACAATAAATGTTCTCCTTCACAGACTTCTTGTGAAGCCTGAATTAATCTCAGACAGTGCTTGGCTCTGCGCCTGGCCGTGTGCTGGGCTGGGCTGAGTCACAGTCTGCTGAGCACCTGTGTCCACCACATGCACCCTCCCCGCCCCCAGGCCTTGCTCAGTGCGCATGACACAGTGGCACAGGAAGCCTTCGAGCCCCTCCTCCCACCTCTGCCAGACAGTCTCCCTGAGAATGAAGAAGCAACCCGGACCGTTTGTTTGGTGAAAAATCAACAGCCCTTGGTGAGGAAATAATTTTATTTTTGATTCAGAATTTTACCAAGGTTAATTACAAACTAGGACAGTGTCCTGTCTGTGGTCATACACAGAATGTATTACAGGTCCAGTAAATAGTGGCTTCTGCCTGTAGCTTCAAGCACATTGCAGGTCATAATGTTTTCACTATGGAAAGAGTTCTGCTTAGTGGGCTTTTGAATTTTGTTATTTGGTACTGGAAACCTAGCTCACAATCTTACACTTGACAGGCAGGCACTGCACTGCTGAGCTATATCCATGGCCCTGCTTAGGGTTTTTTTAAAAAAGTAGCACAGGACTTATTTTTATGAAAAATAAGACATACTCATTTTTATTTTATTGTTTGGCTTTTGACACATGTATTTATCTCATTCTGTTGAAATTTTTCTCCTTTATTAATGGGAAGCTAAATAAGGTATTAGTTTGGTTTTCTAGAGTGGTTCTATGAGTTGGGTCATAATTTGGGAGGTCTGCTTACATTTGGGAGCCTATAAGTAGGTGCTTCTATGAGGTGAACAGAAATTCAGAAGGCTGCAGTCAAAGGGCCTCTACAGTCTGAGGTAGCGCTGGCAAGCCCCGGGCACCTGCCGGGGGACATGTGTGTTTGCTGGGACTCCATTGTGTTCTCTTTGCAGGGAGCTACCATCAAGCGCCACGAGATAACAGGGGACATTCTGGTAGCCAGGGTCATCCACGGAGGGCTGGTTGAAAGGAGTGGTAAGCTGCAGCCTTGGGGTTCAGGTGTGACCAGAAAAGCAGGAAAGCTTGGTTGCTGGTCCCTTTTCCCCAGAATCCCCTTTCCTGACTTAGGTTGGGGCTTCAGTAAGTTACTCTGCTTGGTTAAACTAGTAAAGGAAGAAGGAACAAATGGTTCAGGGAATGCCCGCTTCCCAGGCGGCATATAATGCTATCTCAGTGACACCTCAGGGCCACCTAGGAAGGTAAGGATTGCTGTGCCATTTTACACATGAGGAAGCTGAGGCTGGCACAGCTAGGAACTAACTTGCTCACACTGTGCAGTTGCAGGTGGGGTCAAGCCCAGGTCTGCCTGAGGCAGAAGGCCCATTTGACCCATCCTGAAACGCCTTTTGCTTGCTTTCAGTAGCAGTTCAGCAGTTTCTTCCTTTTGCTTGTGAAGCAAGTGTTCCCGTGCCTGCTGCCTCTTGTCCTTGCTCCCAGAGGCCCCAGAGCCATGCTGTGGATTTTACCCCAGGTCCTCTTGCAAATGCAGGGACATCCCAGCTGCAGGTGCTTTGGCCTTTGTGCTATTGTTTCTTTTCTCTCAGGAGTTGCATTTGTGCTCCACACCGTGTTCTGTGCCAAGGCTAGCTTTCCCAAGACCTTCATCACTTGTGGCTTCTGTCCCTAGATATCACCCTGCTTCCTGGCTCATCTTCCTGCTCACCCTGCTTTCTCTCAAGGTCCCACGTTTTGTTGAAGGATACATAAAAATCCTGCATATTTATGGGGTACACTGTGATAACTGATACGTGTACACAGCATATAATGATCAAATAAGAGTAATTATAATTTCTCCTTAAATTCTTTTTTTTTTTTTGGGGTGGAACCGGGGATTGAACTCAGGCCCTGTGCTTGCCAGGGAAGCACTTATTCCACTGAGCCATCTCCCCCGCCCTCTCCTTAAATTCTTATGAGTAAAAAAAAAAAAAAATTCTTATGAGTGCTTTATGTTGGGAAACTTTGAGCTCCTTTCTTGAGTTCTCTGTAAAGTATAGAATGAATTATCGTAAATTATGGCTACCTACTGTGCAAGACTAGACTTTGCTCCTCCAGTATAACTGATGTGCTATCCAACCCCCATCTACTGCCAAGACTTTTGTCTTATCCTCCCAAGTTTTTCCTTGTTTCTCTTTTGAAAACCCCTTCCCACTCTTCCCTTTTCATTGATTGTTTACTCATAACCCTGACATCTTCATTTTTAATATATCTTATTACCAGTGTTCTGGTTCCCTTTTATAGTATCAGGTTAGCAAAAATAAAAGTGTCACCATCATTGGTAATGAGGAGATAGAAAATGGAAAGTTCCCACATCTCTGTGGTGATCTAAGTTGGACTAACCAGTGAGCTTCACTGCCATTATTTCCCAATGCATTTTAGAGTGTGAAGCATGCTTGGCTTTGCAAGTTTGCTCACAGCCACTGGGATGGCTGCCTTATTTTCACTTTTTCCTACTTCTGTGCCCTCCCTCTACTTGTGTTCCTGTCTGCCTAGGGTTGCTGTATGCTGGAGACAAACTGGTGGAGGTTAATGGGGTTTCTGTTGCGGGGCTGGAGCCTGAGCAAGTGATCCATATTCTGGTAAAGTCTTCTCTTTGCATCTTGTTTGTAGCTTAGTAGAAGGCACGTGTGCTGAAACGTGATGGCCCCTCTGCCCAGCTGCAGGCCTGCCTGTGGCCAGGCAGCCTGTGGACCTTTCTCCTTTTCCAGAAGTTCTGGCCTTGGCTGGGAGACCCCTTCCCAGGGTGGTCCTCAGGACAGGCAGACCCCAGTGGGTCCCTTGTTACCCAGGATTCTCCATTGGATATAGGCTGGGTGGCATCTGAGAGGAGCATGCCTTGCTCCCCAAATTTCTTTATATAACTGAGATCTAGCGATCCTCTGAAGCAGCCTGAGGGGAGGTCACCAGACAGCTGAGTATGGGAGGACTGGCCCAGTTCATGGTGGTTAGAGTTGGGCTTTTGTCCATTCCCATTCCCCGAGTCACAGTTCAGCTGATGGCATGACCCCATCTGCCTGCCCGTGGACATCCCAAGTATGAGGCCAAAGGCTAATCCTAATAGAGCAGTGGTTCTAAGACTGGGCTCCTAGGGGAACTGTGGGTTTCCATAGTGATGGCTAGAGACTATGATTAGGGGTGAGAGAGTGAGGAATTTGAGCTCCTGCTACAAAATTTTGTATGGTATTAAAGGTACAGCAAGGGGCTGGGGAGATGGCTCAGTGGAATAAACACTTCTCTGGCAAGCGCAGGGACCTGAGTTCGATCTCTGGTTCTGCAAAAACAAAAAACAAAAAAACCCCAAAAAACCAAACAAACAAACAAAAAAGGTACAGCAAGCAGAGCCTGATGTATGCGCTACTCACCAGACACACGTGCTTCTCTCTCAGCCTTCCTAGTACAAGCTGCAGAGTGGCCAGGACAGCAGGATGGTAAAATTCCCAAAAGTGAGAGCGAAGCTAGTCCTGATCCTCGCTGCCTGTCATGTGTGTGTATCAGGGGCTCTTCTTGGCTTCTCCTCTGCCCCACTACTGTGAGGGGCTCCGCACTTCCACCTTGGGAGCACTTCCTGTTCCCCATCCAATGGGGGCATCTGCTGCAGAAAAGGTGTTCAGGAAGTGCATTCTGAGTGAGGGGTGGGGAGGGATGGTTGGGCAGAGCTGTCTCTTCCCCTGGCTTATGGAAATGGAACTTAGCAGAGCAGGGTGCCCCTGACAGCTAGGATGAAACAGCTCCCACATGAGGCCCCGTCCATGTGGGTTTAGCAATCAGTGACCCTGGATCCCCACAGCAGGCAGATGCTGAGCTTAGCTGATCCAGAGCTTCCATTTCTGAGTTTCAGCAGCTTTGTTAAGGCTTGTGAGATCACTTTGGGGCTGTTGCGTCAGGCCAGTGCACATGCAGCTGCATCTCCATCTGCAGAGTCCCAGCAGCTCTGCCATTCCTTTGTTATTCCACAGGCCAAGTCTTGTGACACAGTCGTGTTCAAGGTGGTTCCAGCTTGTGACCCTCCTGTGAACAGCCAGAAGACAGTAAGAGGTCGTTGTGTGCAGTGAGTGCTCAAGTCAATAGCAGTGACCTATGTGATTTATAGTGTGCCCCCTTCTCTACCCCTCTGGACATGTGTTCCGTACTGTGTTCAGGATTTCTCAATACTGATGATCTGAGGACAAAACAAGTGAAGGAACACAGTGAAAAGTCAGGAAGCAACATCAAAATGGTGCAAATCTGAGTGAAAACATTTCAGAGCTAAGAGACTCCATTCCCCAGAGCACTAGTTTTTATGGGCCTTAGCGTGGGGGTGTCTTAGTTGCTTTCTCATTGCTGAGACGCAATGTCTGACAACTGTAAGGAGCAGAGGTTTCTGTTGGCTCATAGTTCATGGAGGTTTTAGGCTACAGTCGGTGGGCTCCAAGGCAAGAGGGCACAAGGGCCTGGCAGAGGAGAAGCAGCTCCTGGCATGGGGGCAGGAAGTAGAGAGGGGAACGCAAAGGACCCTTCCAGGCCTCCCCACCCATGAATGGCGACCTCTGCCCACCAGGCTTCCTCGCCCAAGCCCACACCCAACCGTTATCCCGTGGGTTGAAGGACTAATCCCCCAAGAAGTCTGCATGCATGCTCCAAGCACCTCCCCAGAGCCCCTTGGAGGACACGTAGATATAGTAGAGTCGCTTCTTTGGGGGAGGAGAGCCGGGAGTGCGGGCAGCAGCTCAGCGACCACGCGCCTTGCCGACAGTTTCACGTCCGCGCCATGGCCGAGTACCGGCCCCGCGAGGACCCCGCCATCCCCTGCGCCGACGCCGGGCTGCCTTTCCGGAAGGGCGACGTCCTCCAGGTTGTGGACCAGAGCGACGCCCTCTGGTGGCAAGCTCGGAAAGTCTCAGACCCGCACGCCTGCGCGGGGCTCATCCCCTCTGTCCATCTGCTGAAGAGGTAAGAGCCCTCCGGGCCTAGGGACTACACCTGCCAGATGAGGAGCCAAGGCAGAGGGACGATGCGCCCGGCCTGGGGCCGAGTTATCGATTGGTCTTAGACATCTTAAATACTAAGGGGACCAGAATAATTGTATCAGCTAGAAAAAAGTATTTGAGAAACTAAATTAAATTTTAAAAATGCTGTGGCCCTACGTGTTGAAATCTAATCCCTAAGGCAACTGCATTAAGAAGTAGGGCCTTTGGAGGTGCTTAGGTCATGAAGACAGGAAATTTTAAGGCAATTGGGTTAGTGCCTTGAAAGGAGCCCCAAGGAAGAGACTGGCTTGCCCCTTCTGCCACATGTGGACACAACCAGACAGAGCCATCTATGAAACAGAGTGCTCACCAGACCCCCAGGTAGCTGGTGCCTTGAGATTGGACTTCCCAGCCCCAAAGTGTGGGGAGTGCTTTCTGCTGTTTCTAAGCCCCCAAATCTCTGGCATCACATTATCACAGCGTGAAAAGACTGTGGCTCTTTCAAGCTATGCTGAGACCAGTTTCAGCTGCTTGCACCTGAGATCTGATGTGACCACCAAGGAAGGGAGTGGAAACAGAAACGGGTGTTCACGGCTCAGCCACAAATCAGAAACCACAAAAAGGAAAAGGAAACAGTGACGGTCAGGCAGGAAAGTTAATGAAGTAGGGTTAAAAGTGTATGGTATTCTGATCAACTGTATTGATTGTTACTGACAGGCTAAGTGACCACTGGGTTTAACAATCTGGAGTCAATCTCGATAGAAGGCAATTTCAGTGGAGGTATGGGGCCTAAATCCTGTGCGTCCAGTATTGAGGAAACTGGTGACAATAAGTAGAGAAAACTCTTAGGAACATTTTTGTATAAAGCAGAGCAAACAATGGAGAAATAGCTAGAGAAAACAGTAAGGCACGACAGAATTTCTTAGATGAGGTAACTAATGCTAAGGGTAAAATCTCATGAGAGGAAAATTTTTATGATTCAGAAGAAAGAGAACTGCCACTGTTGCTATTCCAGAGCAGGCAGGATGGGGACTTTTGCCTGATAGTTCATCTAGAGCAATGGGCAGAGGAGAGAAGGCAAGGTGAGGTGACACCCAGAAAAGTTCCCTTCCTAACCCCTTATTCTCTCATATGACAGAGTCACGTCATAAACTGACAGTAAAGTAGCTAAGGAAGCGTTGGGAAGTGAGGAGGAGACGTGGTTACAGGTCAGCTTCCTGGGTGCAGGCCAGGTTAGACAAGAGGTTGGATTAACAGCACGTTGAGAAAGGCCAAGGGGGTGGCAGGCCAGGGCATTTAAACTGTTAAAGGGGAGAGGAGGAAGTGAAGCAGGTGAGGTGGGTGAGAAGAAAGTAAGATTAACGGATTATAGGTCTCTGGAGGACCAACAGATTATTCGGTCTGCAAAGACAGAAAGGGTTGTCAGGGAAAGGGGTAACAGGAATAAAAGTACAGAGTCAGTGCTGCTCTGGGCACTGAACAGGGCTAGGGCATAAGTAGGGGACAGGGGCTGAGGTCCCCAAAGAGGCCGGGGTGTTAGATGCAATCTTTACACAGTGAACAAAATCACCAAGTTACGACCCAGCCATGGCACAGCACAGGAGCCACGAGTGGAGGTGAAGCTAAAGCACCGCCGTGCTGTGAGCAGGCGCGGACCTTGTGATCCTCCCCTCACACCCACGTGCAGCAGTCAGGGCCTCGGCCTGGCTAGCCATGGCTAGCCCTAAGTACCCTGACCCTAACCCAACCCTCGGCCTGGCTAGCCATGGTAAGTGCACTGGCCATGGAGACCAGCGAACCGCAGCATTCTTTTCTGCATAGGAAGCAACGGGAATTCTGGTGGTCTCAGCCATACCGGCCTCACACCTGCCTCAAACCATCCATATGTGAGTGAACGTCTATGGACACTGTGCCCTCTTTCCCAGGCCATGTCCCACCTGGGAGAGGTTCTCTAGATGTCACCTCCCAGCAGCCAGCCATGAAAATACAAGCGTGTGTTTGTTGGTGACATTCTAAGTCAGTGCTCTGAGATCCCCGCAGCTCCTAGCCTTGTGTGGGGACTGATACAAGGATGCGCAGCTGCACACAAACCTCCTTCGGGTCCTGGCAACTTTGAGGGTTTCATCTGCACCCTGTTCAGAGGCCACCTGTGTGACAGTCAAGTGTGCCTCTGGGGGTTGCATATGGGCAGATCACAACTTACTGGACACAGTCTGATGGCTGGGCAGGATATTCCAATAGCAGATGGCTGGTAATGTTCATGATGGCCAGCGGTCATGAGCTCTCCTACCTTGGTATAGGGCACTATGCAGTGGGCACAGGGCTGAGCTCTGGGGTGAGGATGGACAGGAAGGCTCCCTGCTGGCAGCGATGGGAGAAGACACCAGGAAAAGGAGTTGAGCAAGGGCCAGAGCCCTCAGGGTGAAGAGCATAGGGGACTCAAATGCCACCAGCACAGATCACCATGGAGCTCTGCACCCCTGGAATCTTCAAACCAGAAACTATTTTCCTTTATTTTTGTACTGGATCCACATAATGACAACCACAAAGACTTTTTTTTTTTTTTTTTTCTTGCGGAACCAGGGATTGAACTCAGGCCCTTGTGCTTACCAGGCAAGTGCTTATTCTACTGAGCCATCTCCCTGGCCCCAGACATTTTTGAAAGAAGATAGCACTCTTGGTAATTCCTTCTTGGTTACACTATTTTCTTGTATCTTCCAATTGTGGGCTCAGAACTCAGATAACTCAGCCAGAGCCACAACGCTGCTTCAACTCCTTTTAACTGAGTATCATATCAGAAAACTTTGGAAAAGTTTTTAAACAAATCTAGGCCTAGAATTTTTTTAACTCACTTTCCCATTTCATAAAAGAAATGCTGGGTAGAGTTTCTGATCAGATCTGATAATGAGTGTGACCCCAGGTTGCGGTGTACTTGCTTGGGTAGTCTGTGTGGCATTGATATTAGACCTGGAATTCCACACTGAAAGTAGTTTGCATCACCCTACAACGATCCTCACACACCCTTGAGTCCAGGAGCCCAAGGTCACTGATATCAGAGGACACCCTCCATATGGATATTTCTGATGGGTCTCAGGCATTTTCTGAACTACAAGGTTATTCTTTTTGAACTGTCAAAATGACACTGCCACACATCTTTCTGTAATCTTTCCACTCTAATTAAGTCCTACCAGAGGGGAAAAGTCTCCAGGACCAACTACGAAGTCAGGAGGTAGTGGAAATTTTATTAATAGTTCTAGAGAACTGGAGATATAGTCATGGAGCACTTGCCTAGCATAGCATGTGCCATGTGCTAGGCTTAATCCCCACACTGAAAACAAAGTTTTAAAAACTTCATGTTAGTTTGCAGATTTTAGTAAAAAGTTATCTGCTGAAGACAAACTTATCATCCCAGTTTTCTTCTTTTTACTGCTTCCCTCTCTTCCTTTAATTGGTGATCTGAGCTCCTAAAGGATGCGAAGCCAAATGCATGAATTCAGAAATGAGCAGAATACAGCCATAACAGAGCTTGGTCGGTGGATGTGGTGGGATTTGCCAGGCTCACAAACTTATTCCTTCCCATGGGTGGTCACTGTTTATCTTGTTACTAATCTCCATTGATTAGAATTAGTAACAATGCTAATCTCCACTAATTGAATATTAATTGCAGTAACATCAGCACTTTGTTTTTCTTATTGTAAATTAATGTGGGAAGTGACAGCACATGTTCTTTTTGTTATTGTTTCCTGCTTTAATCATTTGTACCCAGCAATTTCTGTGGAAGAAGGTAAGAACATTTTTAGAAAAAAGCCTTTATCTTCAAAGTCTCCTAGAAATTTCCCCTAGCTTTACAAATTCTGTTCAGCTCACCTGTTTGTTAAGCTCTTTCTGTGTAACCAGTAGTGCAATAGCACACGAAGTGTAATTATTCTGACAGTGGGCAAAGTGAAGGAAAGGCAGATAACACAGCCATGGTCCAAATGCAGATTTGTGAAGCTGCCTAGGTGTTTTGTTTTAGCTGCTCTATGCACATCTAATAGAAATACCACTGTAAGAAATCATTATCACTGTCATCTCAGGTGAGAACTGAGGGTGGGACAGGTAGACCTGGGTTTCTGAAGCTGCACACGAGGGCCCTGCCTTGGGTTCGGGGGCAAATGGACCTCATGATCCCTCTCCCTTTTCCATGCCCAGCCATCCCAGTGAGCCACTATGACGTCACACACACACACACACACACACACACACACACACGCACGCCCCAGGCAGGTGTCTGTATGCAGAGGGGTGGGAGAGGGCCTGTTAGCTGCCACTCACATTTCATGAATCAAACCAGGAAATGAGACCCGAGCTGCAGAAAAACTGAGAACTGATCTGCCCACATGGGCTCTACCTGTGTTCCCCAAGGTCAGGAACAGAGTATAACATGGAGAGGTGATGGCAGAAACAGGCCAGGAGGAGTGCTTGGCAGAGGCTGCAGGTGGCTGTGAGGGTAGTGGGAAAGAGGGCACTCAATGCACTGTGCCAGCTCAGGTCTCTGTAACAGATGCCACAGGCTGAGGGGCTGAAGCAACAACATTTATTCTTTGTCATTCTGGAAGTTGGAGGTCTGAGGTCAAGGTTCCAGCAGGGTTGGCTTCTGGCATGGCCTTTTGTCCTATCTTCTAGATAGCTACCTCTTACTCTGTGCTTGTGTGGCCTTTCCCAAGTGCATGGTTAGGAGAGAGATCTTTAGGGTCTTCCCTCCTCCCTAAGGCCATGGCCCTAGTGTACGAGGGGTCCAGCTCTGCAACTTCTTTCTGCCTTCATCATCTCTAAAAGTCGCTATCTCTAAGTATAGTCATGCTGAAAATGAGTGCTTCAACATGGGGTACTGCGGAGAGCAATCTGCGCCACAGCACCCCGGCCCAGCATGTGGAGGTGTTGGTTTTGGGGAGTAAAGCTAGGCCTCACCCTGGACCCTGAGCCACGGGGCAGAAGAGTCAGGGCTCCCTATGCTATAACCAGCGTTGTGCTCCTGTTCTCTTACCTTTGTCTGTGACACAGGAAGGACATTTGTCCTTTTTTGTTTGCTCTAAAAAATGACAACTTTTAGTAATGTGGGTGAAGCAATGAACTCACTGTCATAAATGGCTAAACTAGAAAATAATCTCTCAATGAACACAGAGATTAAGTGATAGGGTGAAAGTATCAGCTACGTCATCTGTCTATCTGTGGCCCTGCCTTATGAGTTGCTTAGGAAACGTAACTATTCTGTGTGAAGTGGCAGTGCTCTTAAAGCACTATTTCTTAGCGTTTCTCATCTAAAAACATTACTGGGCTGGACCGGGGAAGTGGTGCAGTGGAATAAGTGCTTCCCTGGCAAGCACAAGGGCCTGAGTTCAATCCCTGGTTCTGCCAAAAAATAAAAATAAAATCATTACTGGCGAGGTGTGGTGACATATAGCTATAATCCCAGCAGGCTGAGGCAGCAATACTTGGTGCCATGAAAAAAAATAAATAAATAAATAAATAAATAAAGATGAAAGAGAAAAGGAAAGGAAAAAAGACAAGGGAAAAAGACATATTGAGATATTCTGACCAGGCATGGCACCACATGCCTATAATCCTAGTCATTCAGGAAGCTGAGGGAAGCGTTACAGGCTCAGAGAGAAGTTGTGTAGTATTTGAGAAAAGCAGCTCTTCCAAAAGGGCTTCAGGTGGAGCTCTGTGTCAAGATGAGTGGCATTTTCATATTCACTTGCATATACCTCAGCTTGGGAATGGTGTTTTCTGAGCCCTTACCACGTGTGTGAGCTGTTCGTACACCCTCCCTGTGAGCTGCCATCTTCTGCAGTACTTACACATGGACAACAGAGGCCTACAGATAACCAGTCTGTTCAGCATTGAAAAGCATTTGGTGTGGGGCTGACGAGATAGCCCAACAGACTAAAGCACCTGCTTAGGCAAGCTTAGGCAAGTGCGGGGACTACAGTTGGATCCTGGGAACACACGCCAGGCCAGTCTCATCCCCAGGGTGGGCTGAGCCGGCCAGAGTCTGGGCGAGCAGCCTGTAATCCTAGCACTGAGGAGACTGAAAACAGGAGCATCACTATGAGTCCAGGCTGTGTAGTGAGACCCTGTAACAAATACTTGAAAAGAAAAGAAAAGCCATTTGGTGATGTAGCTTCCCATTTCATCTGTCTTCATCCAACACAGCAGCACACACATCATTCCTCCAAGACAGTACTGGTTCTGAGAATGCTGTCACATGGTGGTCTGAATTTGATTGACATCAGCTTCCATAGGTCATTTCACTTTGCGGACACAGCTGAAGATCTAATTCCCCCTTCCTGTGCTGTTTTATAGATGCTTACCTGAAGATTGAGGAGAAGTGTGTGGAAGCAGGTACTCTGTCTTCTGGACTGATGCACACCTAGGAGAGAGGCAAAGTGACTCAGTTGCGGGCGACCCAGGCCCTCTTTTAGGGGAGGGACCAAGGCTGCATGGTTCCCTGCTCCACGGAAGGCAACCACCTCCCAGCCTATAGAGCATCCGCTGGTGAAACCCAGTGTCCTGCCAAGGGACACCAAAGCCCGTGCTCTGTGAGCAGCATAAAATAGTGTGATGCCAAGCTCTTAAGAAACAATGTGGCTGGGGCATAGCTCAGTGGCATAAGTGCCTGCCTGGCAAGCACAAGGTCCTGAGTTTAATCTCTGATACTAAAAATAATAATAAAAGCAATATGTATTTTTTTATTTTAAACATTGATATCTAGTGTAGAGGGTTCCAAATTTTTGAGAAATATATAAAAGGTTTTTACATTTCTATATTTAAGGTTTTTTTAAAGTCTTTGAAAAGGGTTCTTCAAATTTAGTGGTGGTACTAAAATGGCTCAAGAACTCACCAG